AAAAGGTGGCGAGAAGCCCTACGCTTCTAGCGACACACCCGACCCAAAACTCCTTGAATAAAACTTCGAACCCTTGAAAGACCAAAACGCCCCTAGCCTTGGCCTCCAAAATCCATAAATGAATATTTTCAGAGCAGGGTGTTACATTGGTTCTCTAAAATATGCTACTATTACAAGACCGGATATCGCCTACTCCGTGAATCGTGTTTGTCAATTCATGCACTATTTAACAAATAATCACTGGCAAGCAGTAAAGCGAATTCTATGCTATCTAAATGGAACAATTCATTATTGTTCGCATTTTTCCCCAACCAACGTAAAAGAACTTCATGCGTTTTCTGATTCTGGGTGGAATTCTGACCTTGATGACAGCCGATTTCAATATGGCTTTGCTATTTTCCACGGTTCCAATCTCATGAGTTGGACCTCCCGCAAACAACGTGTTGTTGCCCATTCCAACACAGAGGCTGAATATAGATCCTTGGCCTACACTACAACAGAATTAATGTGGCTAAAGCAACTCATCACAGACCTTCATGTACCTATTACAACACCTCCACTACTGATCTGTGACAATGTTGGAGCAATCTTTATGACTAAAAATCCGGTAATTAGTACACGCTCTAAACACATTGCCTTGGATTTTCATTTCATCAGAGAACAAGTAGAAGCTGTCCAGCTCAAGATTTGTCATGTTGCTTCCGAGGATCAGCTTGCAGACATATTCACTAAACCACTGGGATAGGATAAATTTTGTTTATACGTTCCAAGCTTCAAGTTCGACCCGCTCTTGAGCTTGTCGGGGGGGGGGGGATAATATCATTAGAATAAACCTTAATATACACGTGTGTATAAATGTGTATCTAGTCAAAGTCTATAGTCAATAATCAATAGTCTTAGCGTATGCATAGGAGAGTATATCTCTTTCTCGGTTAGTATCCACTTGTATATATACATGTACTCTATTTTTTGTATCATACATACAGTTTACAACATTATAGGATTAAGGGCTAAAATGTATTTTACTTTATATTGATTCTTTAATATTTTTATTTAATATATAAAATATAAAATATAAGTTTTAATTAATTAATTAATTAATTAATTAATGCAATTTGAATTTTCGGTTCGGTTTGGCCTAAAGTTTATGAGACCAAAACTCAAACCAAAAACCAAATTCAAAATTCGGATTGTTCTCATACATAATCAAAAACCAAATTTGTATATGGTTTGGTTTGAAATCGATTTCTATTTGATTTGGTTTTCGAGTTTTTTGATTCCGGACCAAATAATTCCCAACACTAATTGGGTGGATGTGTGTTTTTGATTTTTATATAAATGACCATATATGATAAGGGTGAAGGGGGAATGCGAGGCAAACTACCCCTGAGGTGAAACTCGAAGGGAAAATGGTTCAATCCATGGAACAGATGGTGAGGAGGAGTCAGTCTCCAGCGATTTCAGGTACGTGGACATAGGTCTGCTCCGGCAGCTTTCTGGTCTTCTTCTTCTGGTCCGCTAATCCAACATATAGGGGGAAATAATGGCAACACAAGATTGAAATCGGGAAGTATTTGGTTTCTTTGTTTGTCAGGAAAGGAGAATGACAAATGAGGCTGCGATTGTGGCTAACAGGTAACCTTCTTGATTCATTCATTTTTTTTCTTTGGTTTTTCTTGACATAATCGATATACCTAAGTGGTTGTTTGGGGTTTGGTTTCTGATGGCAAACTGCAAGGGAGATGGAGGTATTTGTAGTGTAGTGTTAGAGTGTTCTAACAAGTAGAAGAAGAAGTGCACGCAACCTGTTCAATTTGATGTGTAAGAACAAGGAAGAAGAATGGAGAAGTGATGTTGGTAATTGACAGCTTACAATGACAAAGGAAACACAGGAAACATGTTTCCATTGTGTGGATTTGTTTAAAAAGGATTTGTTTCCTTTGTGTGGATTTGTTAAAAAAATATTGGTTTATTTTGTGTGTAGTTTTGGTTTATGTGTGGTTTTGGTTTGTAACAAGTAATGGCTGTCCAATTCTTTTTCTTTGTATTTGGTAGTTTAAAGAAATGAAATTTGGGGAATATTGATGTATATTCATGTAATATACATATATGTATTTATTTAGGACCTTATAAACAATTTCCTTATATATATATATATATATATATATATATATATATATATATATATATATACACGTAACATCCCAAACTTCGAAACCGAAAATTTCATTTTTGAATTAATAATTTATAAAACATTTTACCATAACATTGTCAATAAAACAGCACATTATAAAATCATAATGTTGTGTCCCAAACCATGACATCAAAAGTAATGAAAATCAGAGTACAATCCCAGAAACCCAATGCGGAAACCATGTGTGTGTGTGTGATGCGCTGCTACACCGTTGGCTCCTTCCCCTTAGACAAAGAGGTACCTGAAACCAAAACCAAAACTATAAGCACAAAGCTTAGTGAGTTCCCCCATCATACCACATAAAATATCATATCATCGGTATCTTTCAAGCGGTAACTGCCATCGGTATCTTTCAACCGGTATCTGCCATCAGTATCTTTCAACCGGTAACCGCCATCGGTATCTTACAACCGGTACCTGCCATCAGTATCTTTCAACCGGTAACCGAGGACTATTTCACCCCTACTGCTATCATACAATATCAAGATATAATCATACAGTCAGGCATAACTGGGGTACTGACCTACCCTTCGATCCTAACGACCGATGTCAGGGAAAAACTATTCCCCACTACTACCACTAACATACACATTGCATATCATACAGGCATATCTCATAACCATATCACATCAACATACCAAGATAATTATCACAGAGACAATTATCCACCAAATACTCCTGATGGTGGGCCGGCATTGTGGCCTTAGACCCACCCATACTGGAAGGTAACTCACCTCGATGTCGTGCAGTGTCTGAACTATCTTCGGCGTACAAGTCGACTACCTTTGACTCCTAAATCCCTACACGACAACACTTTAAAGTTATTCATTTGAGTATGCAACCCTAACCGGGGTCATACCAATCTAGTCAAAGTCAACATTGGTCAAAGTCAACTTCCAGTTGACCTGACTCGCCGAGTTGGTCTACCAACTCGTCGAGTCCATACCCTTCAACTTGATGCAATCCCCGTCTCCACTCGTCGAGTCTGGCAAGAACTCGACGGGTTCTCCTTCGATCTTACCCTCAGGGCCAACTTCATCTGACTCGCCGAGTTCACCTTGAACTCGTCGAGCCCACCTCCCTCTTATGAACACGTCCAGTCTACAACTCGCCGAGTTGTATGAAAAACTCATCGAGTCCTTGGGAGATTCCCTTGGACTCGCCAAGCCTGCTCCAAGCACTCGTCGAGTCCCATGACTCCCAGGCCCCCTAATGAGCTTGAACAACTATGGGACCATCCTTGCTCTCATCTGGTCCTTCGACAGAAGGATTTGATGGTCATTAAGCTCCGACTCGTCGAGTCCCAAGAACGACTCGCCGAGTTCACTCTTGACCACCACCATACAATCGATCTAAAGGGGTCTTAACACACCAAAACCATAGATCTGGCCCCCTAATGCCCATTTTACATGTAAAGTCCCAAACTTCATGCACATGCAAGGGGTTTTTGGCTCAAAAAGCCATAAGAAGTGACCTACAAGAGGCATGGGGCTCTCATGGCCATAAAGTTGGCACCTTTATGCCATGAGACCCCTCCTAAGGCCCAGATCTGAAGTCAAACTCCATTCATCCCTTCATAATCCGAAAATATCTTAGAAAGCCCCCAAAATCCCAACTCCAAAGATGAATAATCACATAGAAGACCAAGACAAGAGATTTTTACCTTGAATGAACCAGAAATAGAACAAATCTCCTGGATCTCTAAGCCCCAACTTGCACTCCCAAGCTCCTTTCCTCTTCTCAAGCTTCACAACCCACCAAAATACACCAAAATGGCCTTAGAGCACACAAACAAGGCTAGGGTTTCGATATACTGTCTTATGGGAGTGATTGGAACGAAGGAGGCTGAGATAAGTTGTTTAAATAGGGTGCACACCCTCAGATTTAGGGTTTCACTCAAGCAGCACCTACTCGCCGAGTCAGGCTCCCGACTCGTCGAGTAGGCCACTTAAACTTTCCCGCGGTCACGACCCTACTCGACGAGTTGGGCCATCAACTCGTCGAGTCCCAGAACAAATACAAGAAACCTTGAATTAAAAACATACCGGGAATCAGGTGTTACACAATATATATATATATATATATATATATATATATATATATATATATATATATATATATATATATATATATATATATACAGAGAGAGAGAGAGAGAGAGAAAGAAAGAGAAAGAGCTAGATTCAAGTATTCTGACTAATTATTATGTGGATGTATGGATGGATGAGGAACAAACAAAAGTTAAAATAAAAAATAATTATATAAATAAATAAGGGTAAATAGGTAATTTGATAATTAGTTTCCACAAATAATATTCTATAATTATGGTAACCATTGACTTCATCTACCTAGGTTTTCTCCATCCATCGTCGGCTTTTTAAATTTGATTTGAAGACCACATCAGAAATCGACCCCAACACCATTACTACCGAGGTTGAAGGGCACATCTGACAGCCCCCAACCATCAGAGCATCACTATCACATCTCCGTGAAACCCCAACGTACAATCCATTGACGCCATCAACGACTACAACCTCTAAAGCCTGTACAATTTCATTCATCGAGTCAGCATGGATTCGGTCTTCTTTGAAGCCTTTAATCGCCTAAATTTAAGGGGGGAGGGGGTAACGACAAATATGTTTCTACCTAGAGTTTATTTCCCTCTTTTTGTAATCGACGACAATAAGACGGAATAAAATGCACGCCTAAGACTTCCTAATCTCACTGGCTCCTTCTTCGTCTCTCCACTCGGCACCTGTACGGTTTTGTAGGTACGTTGTTATGAGTCGACTCTTCTGTTGTTCCTATGCCTTCAAATATTTCTCTACTGATTGATGAGTTTGTTTGCCATAGGCTTATTATGCAAGGTAAATTTCTCTCTACTTATGATTTATATTACCATGGATGAAAACGATTATGATAAAATTCCTTTGTTTGTTTATTTGTAAAAACTTTCTACTTTGACTTGGAAGAAGTTTTGATTTCAATGTCTACCATTTGGTTAGGCTCTGGTGATGCCGTATGTGCTTCCATTTCGCCAGATCAACAAATCCTTGATGTTGGCACCGGAATAGGTGTCATAGAGTTGTATGAAATTAGCGAACCCATTGCACTTATTCATTATGTTTCCTTACATGATTGGGGGTAAGTTTGTAAATTGTAAGTATATCATGGAATTCATTTTTGAAGTTTGTACTTTGTAATGAATGACTGTTTTAACCACGTTTGTTTCTGTAGATATTCAATGGATGATACTGGTGCGGTTAGTTCTATTTCATGGACACCCAATAGTTCTGCTTTTGCAGATGGATGGAAATTAAGAGGGCTTACCGTTTGGTCTATCTCTGGTTTTTGTTTGATGTCTACAATCCGTCAAATTGGTTTAAATTCTGTGTCATCTCCAGGGGTAAAGCAAAACCCAGATGGAAATTATGAACCTTTAATGAGTGGGACCTCATTTATGTAGTGGGATGAATATGGTTATAGACTTTATGTTGTTGAAGAAGGTTCTTCAGAGAGAATACTTGCGTTTTCTTTTGGGAAATGTTGCCTTAATAGAATGGTTTCGGGTAAAACCCATGTTAGACAAGTTATCTATGGTGAAGAAATGTCTGAGAGAGACCGAAAGGTGGATATTTTTCCAACAGAATGCATACGGTAATTGAATCTTGAATTTCAATGCTGTCGGAATGGAATCACGAATTTCAATTCTGTTGGAATAGAATATTGATATTTTCTCACTGATTTATGCATGTTCTACAATTCTTGGTTATTGGTTTTTGTGCAATTCACAAGTTCTCATATTTTTCCAAAAGAATTTAGTTTTTTATTTTTCATTTGCTAATGCATTATTGAATTCTAAACTACAATTGAATTTGTTTTCACAGAAGTTAATGCTTGAAGAACGGACCACAAAATTGAAAGTGATTCTTAGCAACATTATTCTTTTAGAATGTATTTGTGTATTTGTTAGAGTTTGATGTTTTTTTTCCGATTTGAAAGTGTTTTTAGTTTCATTCTTTAACAATAAATGTAATTCTTAGCAATTGTTAACCGTATTCTATAAGAATCAATGTAATTTTTGTTTTTATTCTTCAATTGATGGTTCAAGAATTTGTTATTCTACAAAAAGTTTTTAAAGTTATGATCAAGAAGTAGGTTCAAGAATATTTTTATTATTTTATGTTTCAAGAATATTTTTATTTTTGAATATACTCATAAATATATTCTGTCAGAATATCCGAATTAAAAGAATTATAATTCGTAAAATCGGATTTTTAAAATTAATAGAATCTATGATCCTTTAAAATATGCAATTTTCCTTTATTATATATATATATATATCTATATATTATTATATATATATATATATATATATATATATATAATGAGTTTGTTGTATAATTTCGGTAATACATATATATAGATTTAAACTCATATGTTAGGAAATGTAAAATTGTTAATTTGTTAACCTTTGTCTCTAAATTTTCAAATTGACACATATTAATGTATGTTTATGAGATATATAAAGAATTGAATATTTATACATAACAAGTGTCCACATTTGTCATATTCCATATTTGGAAGCAAAATATCGTCTGACATCATATAATAATTGAAATAAACTTATTTATTTTACATGTACTAAAACTGAATGAGTCAGATTATCACGAGATTCACGGTGAATTGGTCGGTTATAATTTTTTCACTAAATTCCCGTACGTTAGGCGTACTGATCAGGATAGTCACGAGTGCTCTATTGAGTACGTTGGGCGTACTCCAATCAGACCAAAACCTTATTTTAGTATCTTGGACCCTATTTAAGCTCCTTATCTCATAACCTAACCCTAATATCTTCAACCTCTGTCACACCCCCAAACCGGAACGGCGGAAACGTTCGGGGGTGGCTGACATCATGCGTAGTATCACAACAATTGTATCATAGCAAGCATAGTAAACACAACCAGACATTGAATACATATATGAAACAGGTTTACATTGTTCAATACATAGTTTTGTTCATATCAAAAGTTAAATAGTATAGACGCGACTCTAATGCTCCGACTTCTCCGAACTCCTGGAAGTACCTGTCTACTAATTCCCTGAGAATACAAACAGTTTTGAAACATATCAGCATAAAGCTGGTGAGTTCATAAGCGTTTAGTTTTTGGTGGAAAAATGTTTCATGAATCCTTTTGAAAAGTGTTCCTCAAGAAAATCCTATATTTTCTTATGAAAAGCGTGTTTGAAAAACCCATTCCTCCCATGACTTCCAGGTTCGTACAGAATATGTACAATCCAATGAGTCGTGGAATGAATATGAATATCCGTTGGTTGTAAAACAATCCGTTTTGAATAGCCGGTTTATCCCGGGAAAATCCTATATTTTCCCTAAAGTTTGAAGGTTGATTATCCGTTTTAAACTGAGGTTTGCAAGTATCTACCATACTCGTGTACATAAAAGCAGTTTTCTTTTAAAAACCCTGGTTACACCCAGAGAAGTATATTAGTCTTAAAAAAAACTAAATAAAAGAAAACCGTGATGAACTAAGTCCTGAAGATATTATTATTAATACCCTCCAGTAATTAAATCGGTTATTACTTTGAGATTAGTTCACTTGATTCATTATTACAAAAGTAAATCTCTGTTATCTAGGTTTTGAGTTTTATAACCATAACTGACTGGATATAGCCCGCAACGGCCTGTATCCTTAATGACTTTGTCACCCGTAGACCTGCCGGTCCGGCTGTAGCTAGCAGCGAGGTGCGGGGTTGTCAGTCCCGTATAGATCTATACACAACAGTCACGCTCTCCCTACAAGAGACTCTGGTCATAAGTGCTAGTCCTACACTCTATTTCTTGTGGTGAGTGTTACCAAGGACGTGTCTCCAACTTAGACTAACAAATTTACAAGTAATAATATGGAAAATCCTTTTGTGATTAACATGAATCCTTTATAAAACTATACATTTTGCTACATGATTCATAAGTTCATTGCTCTAGTTTTGAAAACTGTTTCTACGAGTTGATTTGTTAATCGTTTGGTAAAACTGTTTTCCGTGTTAAAAGCATTCTGAAAATATAATTATCTTAAACAAAATAATATACTTTGAGCACAAGTTTCCTTGTGCTTTTGCTTGTATTCCCCCCCCTGAAAACATGAAAACTCGGAAAAAGCGTAGGGGTATGAACTCACTGTTTGACGGATGATTCGAGCGGATGATCGGTTACGAGTGTTGAGTGTCAATTGAGGTTTCGCACTCAAGTGGATCCTAGTAACATATAATAGCACATATATGTATTAGATTTAGGTATTCCATGACAAAACATGACGGGAAACCACCCTAAAGACTTGGAAATGCTTGTCGGGACCTTATTGTTGGATTAATGTCTAAGTCCATAACTATATTTGGTATGTACTTGACCCGACCCGACATGGTCCATTTGGGTTGCACTTCACCGGCACAATTTATATGGATAGTCTTTTGAGAATAGTATATTTATGATTTATATTAATATATTATAAGTTCTAATATATTAATATGGAATCATATTATTTAATTAGTATTGATCAAGAATTAATTTAGAATTAATTAAGTGATCAAAAAGAACTAATTAAATATGGACTCTTATATATATGGAATGGGCCAAGTTCATTTAGGTTGGGCTAAGCTTTCATGGATGGTCCATGGAGCTTTTAACCCATGGATCCTATGTAAATGAAAGGTCATGGGTATTAGGGTTTACATGGATGTAACCCTAATCCTCCATAATATAATCTATAAAGGGGTCCTTGGTCACAAAATTGGCACAAGTGTGTGAAAATAAGAGTAGGCCGATTTTAGTGTGCATACATATTCTCTCAAGTTCTTCCAAGGTGTTTTGGTGATTTGTGATTCCATTTGAGGCTTCCACACTATTGGGGTTAAGCTCTTAAAGCTTGAAGACATCAAGCTACATCAAAAGGTATGTCATCTAACTAGAACTTTGTAGTATAGGTGCTTCATAATATGCTAGTTAGGATGAAACCTTGGAATAGTTAATATTTGCATGTATAATAGAGAAAACATAGATCCAAGGTTTATAGGGTTGCATGTACACCATAGGTGTGTTAGAATGCTGAAAACCCAACAGTGGTATTAGAGCCATGGGTTGTTTTCTGTTATATTGATGCAAATGTTTTATTTTCAAATTTGGAAAAAAAAGAAAAAAAAACATGACGTTTGTCAAATTTTAAGATAATTACTTGTTTTTGTGAAAAACTAATTATTTGTAAAATTTGAATCATTAGCTATATGAGTTGAATTAGGTCAAATTTAGTAAAAGATAAAATGATATGATTATTTTATTAGTTTTAAAAGTTTGATCTAAAGAGTTTTTTGAAACCTCCATAAGTTATGGATTTGAAAAGGTTTTTAAAAAAATTGATTCAAAGTTTTTTATGGAGTTACAAAACTTGGTCTTAATGTTTTAAAGAATTTCATAACTTGTTCTTAAGTTATGGAACATGAAAAGTTTCATCATAAAACAAGTATTTAACTCCATAAGTTATGGAATCCAAAAGTTTTCAAGAGTTACAAAACTTGCCCTCAAGTTTTGGAATTTGGAAAAAGTTTTTTTATGATAAAAAAAACGAATTGAATTCTAAAACTCTTGGGTTCATAACTTAAACAATTAATTAAATGGTTTTAATTTTGAATTTAATAATTGCAATTATGATGTTTTTATTGAATAATTCAATTAACTCTTATGAACTTTATTAATAGATAATTAAAGTGTTTAATTAAAAGAGAATTAATAATTCCATAATGACATGGTTTAAATTTAATTAAATTAAGAGTATAGTTTAATTAATAGATTAAACCACCAAGTATTTTAAATGTCTAAAATACACCCTTATACTATTATAATATTAAAAGTTTAATATATTATATGTATAAGAGCAAGTCGTCTTACCATTAGTAGACCTCATTCACGAAGCCGGTCTATAAGGAGTATAAGGTTACTGCCTATAAAATAACAGTTTAATGGGTATCCACTCTCACCCACCGCTTTCTTGACTGGTGGAGGGTCGTTAGCCGAACAGGTAGGACAAGGACTATAATTCTCCATTCATTAAAAGTATTAATGATAAATACTAAGTAACTAAACTTTTTATAAATTCCCAATCTTAGTTACTTAGGAAAATGTGAATAAGGTGCTAATCCATGAAATTACACTTTGCACTTTGTTTAAGCTGTTAGTGGAGCGTGTGTGGTTAACCGGCACACTAACCTAGACTTAACAAGGTAGGCAAAGGGTAACTTAATGTTTATCATAGTATCGTTGGAGCGTGTGTGGTTAACCGGCACATCGATTGAGGGGTAAATATTAAGGGTACCAAGTATATTTGCATGGTTACTTCACACCTTGTTTTGTGATCCTCGACATCCCAGTCACAAAACCTGAAGGGCACACTCGAGATT